CATCACAGCTCATAGCAACCTCCAACTCCTGGGCTCAAGTGAGTCTCCTGCCTCCGCCTCCCAAGTAGCTGGGACCACAGGTGCCCACCACAATGCCCAGCTATCGTTTGGTTGCAGCCATCGTTGTTTGGCGGGCCAGGCTGGATTCAAACCTGCCACCGTAGGTGCATGTGGCTGGCGCCTCAGCCACCTGAGCCACAGGCGCCAAGCCAACAAACATTTTAGTGACTTTGTTATATTTGCTTCTTGTTGGAAAGGATTTGAATATTTGATTGTGGCATGGAGGTCTGCAATTTCAGTTGTCAATTTATTTTTGAGGCAGAGTCTCCCTCCGTCACCCTAGGTGGAATGCTATGGAGTCATCCTAGCTCACAGCAACCTCAAACTCTTGGTTGGGGCTCATGAGATCATCCTCCCAAGTAGCTTTGAAAGGCTAAAGGCTTTCTAAAGCCTAAAGGCTCCCGCCACCGTGCCTAGCTAGTTTTTCTATTTTTAGTAGAGACAGAGCCTCACTCTTGCTCAGGCTGGTCGCAAACTCCTAAACTGAAGCCATCCTCTGTCTTGGCCATCTAGAGTGCTAGGATTACAGACATGAGCCTTGCTTGAGCCTCTAGATGGGTATCAGTCATTTGGGTTAAGGATGTCTTGATTTGGGTTAGGTAGGAGAATGTAGATTCACAGCAGTAAGTGGTTGAAAAGCAAGAAAACGTTTTGGGGGCATGTTTCCATATTTCAGTTAGATCTTAGCATCAGACCCTGACTTTACAATGTCCTCTACTGAGAGCTCCATCAGTTCTTTAGCTCCATCTATAGTTCTTCAGGTGCCGTGGTGGTATCAACTGTGTGGGGCTAAAATGCTAATTTGAGTATGGTGTTAGGATTCTTTTTATTTATTTTTTGAGATAAGGTCTCACTTTTTCACCCTTGGTAGAGTGCGGTGGCATCATTAGCTCACAGCAACCTCGAACTCTTGGGCTCCAGTGATCTTCTTGCCTCAGTTTTTCATTTTTAGTAGAGATGAGGGGTCTCACTCTTATTCAGGCTGGGCTCCAACTCCTGAGCTCAAGCGATCCACTTACCTCCGCCTCCCAGAGTGCAAGAATAACAGGTGTGAGCCACTGTGCCTGGCTTTTGATATTAGGATTTCTTTTTTTTTAGATAGAGTCTCACTATGTCACCCTCAGTAGAGTGCTATGGCATCACAGCTCGCAGCAACCTCAAACTCCTGGGCTTAAACAATTCTCTTGCCTCAGCCTCCCAAGTAGCTGGGACTACAGGCACCTACCACAACGCCTGGCTATTTTTTT